GACCTTCAATGGGCTTTTATTATTATAAACATGTTGCCATTTTTCTTTTGTTATTATATTTTGGGGTTGTAGATTGCTTTGGAAGCAACCCCTAAAACCCAATTCAGAGAGTCCGGCGGACTGTTCATTGAAGTTGTGGCCGATTGTTTTGATGGTGAAGCCGCTGCTGTGCAGACTCCTGCAAAGTTTGCCTTCCAATCGACTGAAGGGTAGTTCCAAGCAAAAAAATCAATACTCTTAGTGCCGACGTCCATGTTGTCGTTGTCGTTGCCACTGCCAGACAATGAAATGATGAAGCCGCCGTCGTCGTCGTCCCCGATGTCGCGGGTGAGGGCACGAGTGCACGTGTTGTCCCTGTCCCTGTCCCTATCCCTGCCCTCGTCCTCGTGGCTGTCCCTGTCGCAATCCCAGTCCCAAGCAAAAATGAGCTCGTCTGGTGTGTGTTTGCTGCGTGCGTGCGTTTGTGGCGGCTTCGGCGGTGGCAACAACACCAATTACAATATAGACAGACATTTAACCAGGATTTCATTTAGAACTACACGTACATTGGCGAAGGAGTCAGGACATGTGCCGACATGTGCGAGAAATGTGGATGAAAAATTTGCTAAACATATTTAGCCAACGAGTTTCTAATGGCAACAATTAAGTCATTAGTAAGTGTTGATTTTATGCCAGCGAGCTGGTCAGGAAGGATACTAATGTGCTGCCAGAATGGAGTTGAAAAAGCTCATGAACACATACTCGTACACCCCGAAAAAAAAATACTATTAACATCAAACTAGAACTGTTCATATATTAGGGCTATATCTACAAACTGAACGAATTGCTTTTGACATTTTCAAAAGTGGATGGATATTATCATATTTTCGGACCACCTATTTCGTTTCAATAAAATTATTTATATGGACAAAATTATGAAAAGATTTTTGAAAGTGGATTTGGTAGTTAAATTAATATTTTTTTACAAGTTCTAAAATATGTACATATTGCCCGTCGCTCTTATTATTAAGGTAAGATAAGTCATAACATAGTAGGTGTACTGGAAAGTGTACCTAGAATGATAATTTAAAGCTCATTTAGTAAAGTATTTCATTTACATTGAAAAGATTTTTGTGCAAATCAAATCATTCTCATTGCATTAATCGGAAGACTACGATTTTTGTCATTTCAGAAACGCGGAGAGTGCATTTAGGATTTTAGGAACTCTTTTCTCAGTTCAAATCAAACAATTTGCCATCTGAATCAATACATAATTATTATGCAGAATAACACAATCTTTTGCTGCAAGCAAAAACTAAAGCTAATCTGAAGATTACTTATTTCGTTTACATATTTCAATTATAGCAAGACCTGCTTTTTGTGTGTTTCTTTTTTTTTAGTTTTTAGTCCAGAATTTTGCAGATTGGCTGAAGAACACAAGCTTATTACCTTACTCCCAAGTCAGTTTTCCTTTTTAAACAACTTTTTAATCAAACCCAAATAGAGGCCAAACAATTGAAACCTTAATCATCATTTTTAACTACTACTATATTTGTATCGTTATACCTAATTATTAAGGAGTGTGGATTTCTCGAACTGGTTTCTTTCAGCTTATCAAATGAAATCAAAACAAATCTTGCGGTAATTGTTGATTAGTATTGTTGTTATATCAATACAATTTGACTTAAAAGGGCTTTAAAAATTCAATTTAACGAATCGATTTTTGTTATTCTATAATTAAATATTAACATTCTACATTTCTACATAATTCTGTTAATTAGAAGAAAGTAGTTCCCTTTTAATGTTTCAATAAAAAATGCTGCTGATCTTCTGAAGACTATACAGCTAATTCTGTTTTTACACGGTTTTGATTTAACACGGTTGGCAAATTAAAAGTGGTTTATATGGTTACACGACATATTCCATTTACCACGATTTAAAATAATCCAATCTACCGTGTAAAAACAGAATTAGGTGTATATAAGTATTCTTATAAGTAGCAATCGAAAAGTAGTTCTAGTGATACACAGTTCTTTTAATATATTGTTGTTACAGCAACTTCTTTTGATACATACAGTTCCATACGTACAAGCCGTCCTTTAGAACGTCACTAGCAGTTTTTATTCAAATATAAAAATATGTGTAAGGGAAAATATAAATATACCAGAGCTCTTAAACAAGCTGGATATTTTTTCGCATAAAAATATCAAATCAGGGACCGATTTTTCAATGGCTGCTACACGTTAAACTATAAAGTATTCCAGCAATACAGCTAAAATATAATCACGTCAAATAATACTTAGAATTATTTACCTAATAACTTGATAAATTCCACAACAAAACAACAAAAGGTGTAGTGGTAAAATGTTTGTGTCAAAAATTTAAGTTTGAAAATATTACTTTAAGAAACATTCCGAAAATATTAAAATAATTCCTTTAGTATAACAAATTGATAAATTGTTTTTTTTTTTTTTTTTGAGTGTACACCTAAAAACTTGAACAAACTTACTTACATATTTACTGGCTGGCCAAAAACCACAGAACTGCCAGCAACAGAGTCGAGCCGGCCTCATCGGACCGCCTTACAAATGCCTCCCATTTTTCTCAATTATAATGAACAACTCACTTCTCCCGAGTGTGTGTGTGTGTGTAATCGTGTGTGTGGGTGTGTGTGTGGTTGATGTGCGTGTGTCAAAGGTACGGAGGATATCATTTTTAAGCATGATTGAAGAGTTAAGCGCTCAGACTGTTTTAACAACTCAAGTCATCTTTTATTTACCATTTACAATGGCTTTTAACGAAACACGTGTATTTTTATTTAATTTATTCATGAGTGGGATTTTTGTTTCCATAAAAATAAATGACCACACTTACTATATTTTATTTATTTTATTCCCTTTACTGTATTTGTATAGTGAGTGTATTAGTATTGAGAAAACTTTATCGAGCAATTAAGATAGGGCCTTGGCAAGAATTTAAAGTATAGAAGGATTTTTTGTTTTTTAAATTAATGTTTTTCATCCAAATACCTGTGACTCACTAAATACACGTACATATTTGTTATTGGAATGATTGGTACAACTATTTTAGTCGATGATGGGTGTATTCAGATATTGGACTGTCACTGCTTATTATTTTATTTATTCTTTCTTTTTAATATAGCATTATGCTCATTTCAGTTTTTGCCTCTCTGACCATTATTCTGGTCCATTTGTTCATAGAATGTTTATAATTTCATAAAACGATTCGAAGCAATAAATGAACTTCAGTCTTCCCAACTTCGTTCCCAATTTTTTTAACTTTAGCTGTAAACAACATTTTCCAATACACAAAACGATATAAGTGCGATTCCTGGAACTGTTTATGACTTACAGATGCTTCACAAAAAATATTTTGTAGTAGCAAAGAAGCTTCGACAATTACAATTTGTTATTAGTATTCAAATGCAAGTTAAACCTGCAGAAAATAAATTGGCCGCTTTTCTGTAGAATTAACTGTTTATAAATGTTCGTCACTCGCTAACTAGATTGATCTACAAATTAAAATCCTATATAGCAATTGCAGCTAGGAACACTATTTCTTTTATTCTTTCCCAACACTTTTCGTTGCTGTCAAGAGCCTCGAAAGCAGAATACATTTCACTTTATTTCCATTCAAAGCCTCTGCTGGTTGTTTGTCTGCATTTTTTTTTTTTTTAATTTTTTACTTAATTATACTTGAACTTTTATTTTAATATCTGGGTTCTCAGGCCTACTTCAATCGTGTGTTTTATAATTTTAATTTGATATTTTTATTTCAACCAATTTTAATATACTTTTTTATCTTTCATTTTCATTTAAAAACTGCACTTAAGAAATTAATATATGTTGGTATTTATTTTGTAAGTTTTGGCTTTGACCCACCAACCAATTTTAATATACTTTTGTTTTCTTCCATCTTCGTTTAACAACTGTTGGTATTTATGTTGCTAGTTTTGGCTTTGACCGCTTCATTCTGAGCTTTATCTTTACTTGGCACAGCTCAGTTTTTAATAAAAAAAAAAACACAAGATAGAACGAAAATAAAATAAAATAAATAAATAAAATAAAATAAAAGAAAATAAAAACAAACATTATCTTGGCATACGGACTCATAATCACTAACTGTAGGTATTTGCCAAATTGGAATAAAAAATTACGGAAGTTATGGAAAAAAACAAAAATTGCGGGGCTGTGGAGGTGCATTGAAAAAAACTCAAACTCGTACTTTCTCGGTCTTAGGAGAATCTGGATACCAAGTTTGGTTGTTCTAGCTCTTACACTTTCTGAGATCCTTGCCTTCATACAGACAGACAGACGGACAGACTGACGGACATGGCTATATGGACTTTGTGGGGTCTGCCACGCCTTCTTCTGTCTGTTACATACATTCGCACTAAACCCTTTCACCCTTTGGGTACAGGGTATAAAAAGTGCGCAGACGCTTCAATATTTGCCGCTCTCTATAGCTGTTTAGCCGCCAACGCCGCGCTCGCTCTCACAATCGCGTCCCTCTCCCACTCTCTCTTTCTTAGGCCGATAAGGAAGCGAAAACCGTACAAGCCAGATAGCGCACTCTTCTTGAGCTTATCTTTCGAAATGAAACAATTCGTGAGTCTTACTTGAAGCCTCACATTTCTCAGAGAGTGAAATATCAAGAGTATCAAGCAAAGTACTCGCAAAGAGAAAAACTTTGTAGAAATAATGTAGACATCATATGTATATTTGTACAGCAAAACAGACACATACAACGCCCACACGGCAGACACATACATACGTATGTATGTATGTATGTATGTATGTATGTATGTATGCGCGTGTTCTTAAGGCACGAACGAACATTTGGATATTTAAAGTGAATCAGCGTTAATTGAATGGAATCATTAATATAACTACAAGTACATACTCGTACATAATACAAATTGCCGAAAATACAAATGTAAAAATTAAAGTCTTTTGTGTGGGAATTTGCGGGCAGACGCAACAGTCAAGAGTCGGAGAGATCTACGACGAGGAGGGCACTGGAATGACGGGCTGGAAGAGATGCAGTCTGGCATCGGCATGACCGAGCTTGTTCGTCGCATTACAGTAATAGTCTCCAAAGTCGCCCTCCGAGACGCTGGCGATGCGCAGCACTGATGTGGTGGTCTCAAACGAGGAGGCCGTATTCGCAATCTCGTGCTGGCGATCCGACTGTAGCTTCACGCCGTTACGATACCAGACGACGGCGGGGGCAGGACTTCCCTCAACCAGGCACTCCAGTTCGACACTGTGGCCCAACATTTGGGCCACCTTGGGTCGCTGCACGGCAATCTGGGGCCGGAACTCGACCTCCACGCGAACCAAACGCTTATCGGGCTGTCCCTCCCCATTCTCGGCTATACAATAATAGCCTCCCCGATCCAGACGATGCACAGTCTTTATCCGGAGCGTAGGGTCGGCCAACACATGTCCACCCGCGGGCATAATGGCGTTATGTTCACGTGCCCAGGAAATGGTGGGCTTGGGAAAGCCGTTGGCGTGGCAGGTGACCTCCAGGTTCTGGCCCTCGGTGACGAGCGTGGTGCGAGGCGTCTGCTCGGAGATTACCGGCGGCGTTTTGATCAGCAAATTCAGCTTGCGGGTAACCTTATTGGTGGCCGACACCAACACCTGACACTCGTACAGACCCATGTCGCTGGCCTCGATGCGTTCCATTCGGAGAGTATACGTGGCACTGCCGCTGCTCGCATCCTTCTGCTGCTCCACGGAGTAGCGGGAATCGGGTAGCGTAGACATACCATTTACTGAGAGGACAACAGAATTGGCGTCCGACTCGTTGGCACGCTTCGCCCAACTGACAGTCATTTGGCCCAATTGCTCCACAGTGCAGTTAAACTCGACGTTATCGCCCACACTGGCGACCACATCCTTGCTAATGTGACTGATGACGGGTGTTGCGGACGCGCTCCAAACTCTACTAGTTTCCAGCAGCAAGAGTATTGCACAGAGCTGTTGGCTGAGAAGCCGAAGACTCGCTTTTAGTTCCATCTCTGGTTCAACTTTTCACACACAGATTCGATGCGCCGCGATTTCCTTGACTATCAGTTTGTTGGACGTTCGTTGCTCGACTGACGACGCTGACAACGGACAAGGCTGAGCTCAAGAGCTGCTGCTGCAGACACACACACACACACACACACACACACAGACAGACAGACAGAGAGACAGATGGACAGTGTGGACAGACCGCCTCGTTATCTGTCCGAAAACGTAAGAAAGAAATTCCGGAGCTGCCGCTTGTTTACACAAAGTACGACGACTTCCACGATCGTATCGCACAGTCCCATATACTATGCCCCTTATGTACCTATTTGTGAGTGTATGTGTATGGGTGCGTGTGTGTATTTATTTACTTGTGGCATTATGTTCTTTGCTTATCAATGGCTTTAACTTGCTGCACTCGTTTTCATGTCATGTTCATTACTTTCGCTTAAATTGATTTGTTTTGTTGAACAACGATTTCCCACACAACGATAAGCGATTGTCCGTTACAAATGACCCAAAGCGATGAACACATAGCACATGTGTATGTATATACAAATGTATATATGTATGTACGTGTATGTACATATGTAGATGCTGCCACAGATACCACAGATTTAGGCAGTCCACAGTCCGTCTGTGGACGCTCGCGCGCGCTACTGACGCGACTCTCAAAGGCCAACTTCAGAGGAACAGAAACAGGCACAGACAGCAACACCCATTGGCCATAAAACGTTTAGAAGTTCGTGGAAGGTACACACACACACACACACAGATGCAGATACAGATACACTCACACTGAGACACAAACACACACCCCTTGTAGACGGGGAGAGTCGTCGCAACACACATATTGTGTGCATAATTTGATTTATGGCATGGCGCGTCTATGACGCGAAGGACGAAAGACACTCGTAACGAGGACAACCCAGAGGGCAGACCTCTGGGAAATGCCTGATCCTGTTTTCTATGCCCGTCTCTGTCGGCCTCTCGTAATGAGAGCAGCAGCGAATGCAACATTCAACGCAAGGCTGCAAGTCGCTTCGGAACCAAACACCTCCAAACCGGTTCGTTTCGGAGACCTAGCAGCAAGGATCACCTACAACAGAACCCAAAACTCTCACTTCGAATAGTTTCTAGTTTCTGAAGTAGTGTTTGTATTTTAGACTTCAGTTCAGTTTGAAAACTGATTCAACAAATATAGAACAAAATATAATCAAATAAAAAAGAGATTAGAAAAGATTAGATGATTTGTTATTGTTTATTTCATTATCAAATCAAATAGAACTCTTTAAATCGCACTCGGTTTAGTTTATCAGTTAAAAGTGTTAGTCGAAGCTAAAGATGGCGAGCAGTTCAATGAACTACAGATTAATGCTATGGAATGCTGATTGTAACATATGCTGAGAGATAATGCACAAAATATGATTCATTTGCAATGCTTCAATGCTAATATGAATAATAAATCTATGAGATGTCAGTCTTATTCAATTGAATTTCAAAGTTATAGAAAAGTTCCAAAAAGAAACTAGTGTAATAACATACGTACTTTTTATTATGAGTTTTTATTAATTATTTATTAACTTTTATGACACTCAATCTTAAAACTTGAACTTATACTGATTTCTTACATTTTACTTAAAATGAACTTAGCTAAGGCCTCGTAGCTGCGCTGCCAGAGACGCCGGCAGCGGAGCGGCCGCATTATGTATTTTACTTATGTATTTGTACTCAGCGCTGTTGGCAGCGAGAGCGCGAGGGAGAATGTTATGTGCACTTGAGGTGGCTGACACTAGTTGCACTGACGCTGCACTTATGTCGCCCAATGCATGTGCGATCATATTACATCGCGTCCGAATTATGCTTGGCTTTTTGAATTAATTTATTCACTGCAATAAAGTGTTACAGTGTATGTTCTTAAGAGTGCACTGCGTACAGTGTGTACTCCTTATGTATGCACACTACATCTCCCTCCTTTTGAAAAATAACGTAATATTATGAAGTTATTTTCTAAATTATTTATCTATTAATTTCATGTATATCTAGTTATGAAATATGTTTATATCTTTATGATTCGTTTCTTATTAATCTATTTGTTTTGTTTGTTTAATAATGTTTTTAAAGGGAAAATTGATATATGTATGTATATACTTATTTGTATGTATAAATTTTGTTTTTTTTTTTTTATCTTATTTTTATTTTATTTTATTATTTTTTTTTTTATATGTATATGTATATATATATATTTTTTTTTTTCTATTATTATTTTTTTTCGATGGAATCATAGAAAATTGATGTATATTTTTTTTTGTATTTATTGATATTTATATATATGTATTTATGCTTGTGTATGGCCATACTTCAAGTTACGAATTAAAAATCTTTAACCTATCCTTATGTACTGTTTGTTTTTCGTCTTTATTATTTGATATTATTATGTTATTATTTTCTTCTACTTTTTCTACCTTATATGGTCCTGTATATTTAAAATCTAGCTTGTGACCTGTTTCATTTTTCAATAGAACCTGGTCTCCTATTTTTAACTTCAGATCTAAACTATTCTTGTCATAACTAATTTTCTGTTTATGTTTATTTGACTCTAGCATTAATCTTGCTCTTTTCAAAGCTTGTTCTATCCTAAACTTAGATTCCTTAGCATAATCTTCTATATTGTAAAGTGGTTCTATTCTATCTATGCTATTGAAATACTCTGGTAAATTTGAGGTTCTACCAAAAACTAGCTCATATGGACAGTAATCATGTGCCATTGAGGGTGTAGTATTAAAAGAATATACGAAGTACTGTAACCACACATCCCAATCTGATTTGTCGACTGAGATGTATGACCTGATGAACTCATTAAATGTTCTGTGGCTTCGCTCCACGGTTCCTACAGTCTGGTGATGATGTGCAGTAGATGTTATGTTTTTAATATTTAGATTTTTACATAAATCTTCAATTATTGAATTCTTATACTCTGTTCCCATGTCCGTAATGAACGTCTTCATTGGACCGTACTTCAGAATAAAATGTTCAAATATAGCCTTGGCTACTGTCTTTGCACTTTTGTTCTCTATTGGTATGGCTACAAGGTATTTTGTTAAATCGCAGATTAAAGTTACTGCGTATTCATTTCCTTTTTCTGACCTAGGTAGTGGACCGATCGTATCCACAATTACCCTATCGAAAGCCTTTATTGGCGTATCTGTTATTATCAATGGGGCTCTGGTATGTTTAGTCGATTTCGACTTTTGACATTTTCGACATTTTTTTATATAATTTGTAATGTCTCTTGTTATATTTTTCCAGTAATAATGCCTTTTTATTTTTGCCATTGTTCTTGCTATACCCGTATGGCCTCCTTGTATTGGATCGTCATGGAATGTAAACAGTATTGCTTCTTTTTCTTTTTCTTTATTTATTTGGGTCACCGGCTTGAGTAGCGCTACTCTTAATGATTTCAATATTTTATTGCCCATTTCTTTAAAAGATTCTATTGAAGTTGTTTCAAAAATCTTTTCGCTCGGTGCCACTTTGAGTCGGCTGATATTAAGCACACCGGCTTGCCTTTCAAGCCTTTGGAAGAACTGACCTAAGTCGAGAATTCCATTGGAGTACATATCGCTAACATCAATTCTTGCTATGACTTTTTTTCCATGCTTTAGTAAACATGTTGAATCTGTCGTACGCAAGGTCACTACTTTTCGTACCTCGTCATTTATAATGACTTCGTATACGTTGGGCTTTGAAGCTTTATTTTTAGTTTGCTTATGCAAATCTACTTTGTCTTTCTCTGCGCAGAGATTTTTCTGTTTACTTTGATTTCTTGTAGTGACTTTTAGTATTTTGTTTCCTTTATGTATATCTTTTAAGTCTGTTATAGTTATTCTCGACAACGCATCTGCTATATGGTTGTCTTTTCCCTTGAGGTATTCAACTGTGAAATCATACTCCTCTAAGTCAAGTCTCATGCGCGTCAGTTTTGAGCTCGGGTTCGTCATTGAAAACAAGTAAGTTAAGGGCCTATGATCGGTTTTGACTGTGAAGTGTCTGCCATAAATATATGGTCGAAAATGGTTTATTGCCCAATGGATGGCTGCCAGTTCTTGCTCCGTTGTATTTTTGTTACTTTCCCCTTTTGTAAACGATCTTGATGCATACGCTACTGGCAGTTGTGTCCCATTATGATTTTGGGTCAGTACAGCTCCACAAGCTTGTTTACTCGCATCCGTCGTTATGCAAAATTCTTTGCTAAAATCTGGGTACTGCAACAACGTAGGCTTCATCAACTGGACTTTTAAATATTCGAATGCTTTTTGACATTCACCGGTCCACTCAAACTTAACATTCTTTCTACATAATCTTGTTATGTGCCGCGAATAATCGGCGAAATTTTTTATAAAACGTCTATAATAATTGCAGAATGCAACGAATCTTCTAGCGCTATCAGCGTCCGTTGGGACTGGGTACCTTTCTATGACATCATATTTCTTGCTGTCTGGCAAAATACCCTTATCAGTACACTTATGGCCCAAAAAGGTTACCTCGTGCCTGAAGAATGAGCACTTTTCGGGGTGCAATTTAAGGTTGTGTTTTCTACACAAATCAAAAACGCTTGTAAGATTCTTAATCATATGTTTTTCTGAACACCCGATGACAATCAGGTCATCCATATATAAGAATGCCTGAGTAGGTTCTATACCCGAAAATGCGATTGTCATCATTCTTTGAAATGAATTTGGTGCTATTTTTAAACCATATGGTAATCGCGTGAAGCGATAAGAGCCATTGCTCGTGGAAAAAGACGTTATGTTTCTGGAGCTTTCCTCAAGCTCTATCTGATGAAATCCTGACATCAGATCCAAACATGAGAAGTACTTAGCTCTACCCAATTGATCGAGAATATCATCAATTCTGGGCAACGGAAACTTGTCGGATAAGATTTTTTTATTGATCTGGCGATAGTCAATCACCAAACGCCATCTTTTACTATCAGAACCCGGCAA